AATAATAAATGACAAATTAAAAAAGGCATGAACATTTTTTTTTGTATCAAAAAAATATCGAACCGTGACACCAAAGTATCGAACCGAACTGAACCGAACCGTGAATTTTGTGTATCGTTGCACCCCTAATAGATAGATAGATAGATAGATAGATAGATAGATAGATAGATAGATAGATAGATTCGGGCACACATTTTGAAACAGGCCTTCACAAATGAAAATGCAAAATTTGTCCAGCTGACCTTGTATAGTTATATCTTTGATGACATTTACAAGACAACATCCTATTTATATATTAGGTAGCATTCGCTGCCTAATTTCTCATCTGCAAGCTTTTTTTTCACTAAGAATTGTGTGATTGCAAATGCCTGGAAAACTAGAGAAGTCTAAATAATTATGATCAGCTGGGCTTGAAATTAACACCAGCTAACTCACTCAGAGTAGTTAATATTTGACTGCAGCAGACACAGTTTTACCTCAGGGCTTGTTAGCTTCCTGCTCTATTTCCAAACAAACACAACTTTTCTCAGTTCTTTCTCAGATTGGTATGATTTTATATGGTCCTTCCCAATCTACAATTTCTGTTAAATAAACATACATATTTGTACAGCTGTCATTTCAGGGCACATCTACATTTTTTTTACAACTGCTGCTCTTAGCCCCCTCTCCTCACTGAAAGGGTGAATCAGTCTGAATAAACAGTGAGCAAGCAGTTGCATGCAGCAGGCTCACACTACAAATACAGTTGTGTGTTTGTTTTTCCTTTGTTGCTGTTGTTTCAGTTATTCAGTGAACACTGATGAAAACAAATATATTGTCTTTAGCAGTAAAATCATTCCTGTGCACTAATGCACATTATCATGTGTGTATGTGTTGCAGATTATCATCTGACCCTGACTTCTCATAAGCATCCATATAGGAAACTTGTCTGTCCAATCAAAGGGTTTACTACTGTATGTGTATAGTATATCTACTTTCAGTCTTCAGCCTGTGGTGCCATCATTAACACCGGTTATCTATCGTCGTGCTTGCTTCTCTATACTTTGGCAAAATATGCTAATTAAGACACCCAGTATTACATTCAGATTATTTCCACCATCCTTACAATAGCTAATGTATATTCATGAAATGCACTGTGTTTGTGTTTTTGTCTTTTCACTTTAATTTATTTGTATTATGCAACATATGTCTCTCTAGAGGAAGAGAAAGTAAGTGTTTCTCTGACTGTCTAAGTGAGCACACGGGTTATTTATTCCCTATGAAATTCACTTGTCAATTTCACGCACTGCCTTTGCACTGAATATCACAATACATCTATGCATGTATTATGAAAAAGCATAAATTCATGCACAACAAATCAGTAACCAAACATATTTGCATGTGAATGTGCATGTTTAAAATCTGCTAACCTTGATGGCATTGGTGGAAATCTGGATCTCATGCAGCTTCCTCATTGTACCGTCACGGTCAATGAAGTAAGACGAAGCCAACTGATGAAGGGCTTCCACATTCTGAGTAGCGTTGGCAAGCTTTCTGTCCAGCTTGTTTTTGGCCAGGTACATTGTCAGTGCCTCCTCCCCTGCAAGTGACAAAAAGAAATGGAATTATATAAGCATGTTTTTTAAGAACTTTTTAAGGCAATGAAGACATTATTTTTTTATTCAGTGTACTACAAAAGTGAAGCAAGAGCTGTACATATATTGAATGTGAAAGTTGTCATATTCAGTCTTATCTTGGCTGCCGGTGGAACTCTCAATATAACAGAGAAGTCAGAGATGAATACCAATGCTAGGAGCTTTAGCTTGAGAAACCAGATGCCTTAGGTTTCCCAGAACAGTCACATATTTGCTGCTTCATCCCCAGCTGGCACCATCCCCGGAAAATGCCCTTAGATTTACCCCCATTGGGATTGCATTATTTCCACAAGAGGTGTAGTGATATAGAATTTTTACCACAATACCACAGGAATTTCATCCTGTGGTGTTGTGGTAAATATATCACATCCGAATTTTTCTTGGAAAAGAACCCAAAAGGGAAAAGGATAGGCATGATACACACACAAATAATTGATGATCAGCATTTAAGAATGCAAATATTTTAAAAGAAAAATACGAAGAGGGTAAGTAAGTAGTGGAACCAGTTTAGCTACCTCAAGAAGACTGCACAAATCCCAGATCCTCCCCCAGTTATATATTTTTACAAAAATACTGTATTCAGTTCAATCACATTACTGATACTATACTGATTACATACTTCATAATTTAAATGCTATTATTATCAAAGATGGCAAAGTAAGTCCGTCTTTACACTTCAGAAAACACTTGAAAAAGAGAAGTAGGTCTGTCAACTCACTGAATTCAACCTGATCTTGCAGAAAGTGTCTGTAAGGTCAAGAATATGAAAGTCTAGATCAGCAAAGGGCCTAAATATTTACAGAGCACCAGACAACCATTTCAGTTTGCATGTCTTGTGCTCGTTTGTTGACTCACTAAAAAGAGCTGAGCTGCTCAATCAGTACACATCATATTTCTCAGTCTTTCATTCCCACAAGGAGAAACAGATTCATAAAAAGCAAACAAGCAAATATCAGTTCACTTCTGCAAGCTCACACAATCTATCCTGCAAAGATTACTGTTCAAATGGCAAACCATATGCTTGGAACTATTTCAAGAGCGTGTCACATATGTTCAGGTTTACAGTGCTGTGAATGGTTATTTGGCCCCAAGCGATGCATTGGAATTGGTCATTTAACTTGTGGTGACCGTGACTAGGGGTGGGTAGCAGTCAGGGCCAATGTCTCATGCCTGGTTAGAGTACAAACACTGAGGGGACGAGGGGCGATTCTCCGATGCTGCAATGCTCTCTCTCTCCCTCAGGGGTTAGCAAAGTTACTTACATACACTCGACTTACACCACTGCACAAGAATAATAGTCCCACATTAAGCCCTTGATCTGCCATTTTTTATCACTATTTCAACTTAGTGTGGCATAAAGGTCTTCTATACATAAATATTTTGTGGTTATTGCTAGCTGGCCAGGAAAAATCATTACCTCTCTGGCTTTAAAAAAGTCATTTGTGTGCACCTTTCTATAAGTAATACATTGTGCTACATTATTGCGGGGCACCTCGCTGGCACATCGCCAGAAATAATCAGCTCGTGTAGGGTGTATGTGTTTACAGCTGAGAGGTATTTTAAATTGTTTCATCTCAAATCAGTGTTTCCGTACATGTGTACAAGCATGTTTTCTGAATATCTTTTTCTTTTTTTTCACTTTCCTTGTGTTTGCATGAATGTAGAGGTCATGGAGGATATGTGACTGCCTAGTGTAATGGAATGGTAGGGAGAGCCCCATTTTATGCCAGTGGTACATGTGTGGGAAACCTTTTCAAACAACCTAAGTGAGTGCTTTCAAATGACTTCATAACCTAGTCACAGATTCACAGGACACACACACATACACACAAACATACCCTGCATTTGCTGTTTGGTGCTGCTGTCTTCAGTTACTTTAGTTACTTCGTTAATCTTCTTCAGTTACAGAAAAATTACATCTATTTTTTTGTACTTAACTATATATACATATGTTTGATGACAAAAATTGTGTCAATAATAAACCAATATAGGATGAATTCTATTTCACAACCCAACAACTACTCAGCTCTATTGTAAACATCTTACTTATCTTATGAATAATCTCGTCATTAAAATAGGTTAACGCTTATAATAAAATGTGCATGTAACACTCACAACCAATTTTCTACCCTTCTCTTCAGCGGCATAACGCTATTGCCAGTTACACATTTGCTTCGGGTTTATGCAAGATATATTCTGGTATAATGGAGTAAAAGATATTGTTGTTGACAGAAGCGTTGGCAAGTTTCACTGGGCAGTTTTACTCTACAACCAGAGGCACAGCCATAGTTCTGCATATGAACTTTAGCCTTGGGCAACCACAAGTCATTTCAATAAACTATTTCTTCTTTTTCACAGCAGAAGATATGAGACACTGAATAAGTCTCATTCAGTCAGTCTGTGTATTCACAGAGTGTTGGTGGGCAAAGGAGTCTCCTCAGCTAACATGCAGTTATTAGTGCAACAGCTCTAACAGAGCGTAAAGTAAATGGACTTTCTCAGTTAACTACAAATACATTTTTTTAAAAATGCACTGTGGTTGTTGTTAATGTAGATTAGTTCTTAGTGGCAAAAGCTAGGTAGAAATGAATGTTGTCAATTGAAGCGACAGTGTTTGCTGTTTTGCAAAATGTTTGAGCAGAACGTGTATTTTTTTAATCCCTCCACACAGATGTATGTAGGACAATGAACTCTCCGAAGTAGCTATAGTTGTCTGCTGAATTTAATTGGATGTGTCTCCTTTTAAGCTTTTTTTCTCTATTCCCTGACTCAACTCAGATGCTCTATAGTTGGCTGTACACACACCCATGGAAGTCACAGAGAAACAGCAGTTCTCTCACTTAAAGTGGAAAAGTGATTTCAAGCATGTGAAGGATAGAAAATGACAGATGTGCTAAAATATATTCCTTACAGCTTTAGCAAAATGCAAATCTGTCCTTCACATTCCCTAAAAGCAATACCTCCTCTAGCATTTATATACAGCCTTACTTTTGCAGACGTCTTCACTACTGACACACCGAAAGGTTGAATTTTCCTGTCAGCAAATGTGCTTCACTTACACAATTGTTCTCAGGCAAAAAGCCCGAGGTGTTAAATATTTGTGCCAACTGTTTTATGTACATATTATTTACTTAATTATTAATTTATTTATTTCATCTTCAAATTCAGTTAAAACATAAACTGAGGCATATTTTCACTTTAACTGCTTCAAGTCTTTTAACCGCAGTGAGTAGGCTAAACTCAGATCTAGGGCTGCCACAAACGATTATTTTGATAGTCGACTAGTCACCGATTATTTTTGCGATTAGTCGACTAATCCGATCATGCGTCCATTGGATGTAAAACGTACAGCTTATTGCACCAGCATGCATCTGCTCTTATATAACTATCATTAGCTTACAGCTTGAAGTGTTTAAGGTATGTGCTAACTAAAAATAAAGACAAGATGATAGTTTATTAAATTTTAATGAAATTTGCATATTGTTTCGGTGAAGTTTAATAAACTCCTTGCTATCTAAAATATAACAGAGTA